AGCACAACCACTTTGAAGTCAGTTGTCAAACGTCCATGCTTGCTCACTGCTTCCAGGTTTGGTACAGGTGTTGGGTTCTCTCACCAGCACTCTGTGTCCCTCTCCCTTCCTCCCTCCCTCCCTCTGTGTCTCTCTCCCCCTCCCCAAGAATTGAAAAGCAGCAAGAAAAAGAAACATGTGATAAGAGCAATCATCCTGTCATCTTAAAATTTGCAATTTAAACTTCCCCAATTAGCCTCTCCCCATCACCTTGATTTGATTAGCCTGCTGCTCTCTACCTGCTTTGTTGTGATGAGCTCTCCTCAGATATCTGCAGGCGGCTGTACTGTGATTAGATGTGCTTAGTCATTCACTAAGTGACAAGCAGCACACATGCACACCCACAAACCGAAACACACACACACACACACACCTCACATTCACTTGTGCAAAAGTATGAAACAAAAAACTAAGTGTAGCATAGGTGTGTGCATGCACACAGTATTCCCTTATAAAGCCAGAAAACACAGTAGGTTAATACATGGACACTAATGTGCAGACATTGTTTTTAGGTTGTCGCACTGAGAAGGTTTGACAGATTTTACTACCTACTGTATCAACTAACTGTTGTTACTGTAACCAACTGTTATTTTGCAAGAGAATGTACTTGACCTTTTATGCTGCTCCACATAATTTCTCCTAAAAACAACTGCACACCAGACACATTTTTGACCAAGGGAAATGGGGGGCAATAATGCGAGCTACAATGTTGAAAATCTGTTCAGCAGTTTCCTGCTAAAAATGAATAAACGTTCCTACGTGATCAAATTAACAATCGTAATCTGCAGTATCTGCTTGGATACTGATGCCATCAGGGTTCAGCAGAAGGCTGTGTAGAGGTTCAGCTAGCTGTGATTCATGTTCCTACTCACCAGTGAATGTCTTTGCCATGTGAAATTGCCCAATAAATATGCGCTGGATCGCAGTGACAAGGCATGACTGGAATTTTATGGTTCGTAAAGGCGCTCAAAAGCTCAAAGGCATAAAAAACAAAACAGACTTGACACAAATCACCTTGTTTCATGCCTGTGTTTCATGTTAACAATAAAGAGTTATTAAATCAATTCTAAATAATAAAAATTAAATCACTAAATTGGTTTTATTGCTGCACGGACCACTTAAACAAATGTCCTCTATGCAATTACACGGTTATGGTTCTTCATAGGAGTTTGGACCTATAATAAATCATTTAATCTATGAAAATTGTTATTCTTATTTGTTGGCACTTCATTTAAAAACATCAGAGGATTCCTTCGCTCTAAGGGTGAACCATAAATTTTGTGTGTGTGTAAATTATTGCAGCATGTATGCAATAGAAAAGCCTTTTGCCTCTGATAGCCTTCTTCGTTTCAAATTCCCCATGTAGACTTCAAAGGACAGGGAACTGACATGAAAAACTGTATATACCTGAACAAAAATGCATCTAAATACATGAAGATTCCCTTTTTTACCCCCTCAGAACTACTTTGATGTGTTGTGGACATTTTCAGGGCATTTGAAACACAAAAACAACTAATAAAAAAAGAGCACACACACAAACCGCCCAGTCAGTGAGGAGTTAGCTTCAAACAACAGGGATTTTCACAAGCTTTGCAGTTTGAATTTTTATGCTGCTAAATACAGCTAAAGTTGGAGTAAATACACTCATTCATAGGCAGAAACTTCAGAGGACACCCACAAGAGATCTGGTCTGCTTCTGATAGTCTGTAAAATAAATAATCTTTTAACAATTTAATATTTAGTCCTAAAAACTTTCATGAAGGTTTTAAATATCAGATTTGAGACTAAATATGAATCCCCTAGAATTTTTAAGATAATCGAAACTGTAATTATTTTGATCCAAGCTGAATGTCTTAGGAGGCCTAAAGTTACATCTCACTGAATAAAAGTGTATGGGACCATAAATGTTGGTATAGTAGAGCAAATATCATAGGGTAATTGAATGGGCTCAAGCTCAGTTATGGCTAGTAGGAGATGGGTAATGCGCTCTCCCAAACCAATGACCACATCGCTGAAATCATTAAAGATGGCCTCTGGCTTTGTACCAGATGGGGACAGTGACAACAGGCCAAAAAATAAAACTAGCCAATGGGCACAACAGAGCAGACATAATCAGATTGATGTTTGACAAGCAGAAAAATGTGAGGGGAGAATGCAATTTTAGACTAACCTCCCCAAAAGAATGACCAAATACGCTTTTTTGTTCAAATGTTGAAATGGAATCCAATCTATGTTTACACTTTCCTGACAACTGACCTCTTTATAATGACAAAATGATATATCATTCAACCAATGCTGTGGTTACTTCTGCCTTAGTTTTTAAAAACATGAAGTTCTTGGATTAAACTTGACATGGTGCAGTGCTGAGGATGAAGGTGCTGTCTTTTAGTATCCTTTGGGCTCTGCGTAGGCACCTCACCAGACAGATATCACTAATGCTCAGTAGGTGGGTACCAATGATCTTCTGAGTGGTTTTCATCACCCCGCCACTTCCACCTGTCCTGGGCTGTGCACATCCCATGACAGTTTGTGATGTTTCCAGGCAGGATGCTTTCTATTGCTCCTCTGTAAAAGTTAATAAGGGCTTGGCACGTGAATTTCTTTTTAAATTTCCTTAAAAAAATACAGCCATTTCTGAGCTTTCTTTACCAGCGTGGAAATGAGAGATGACTATGTAAGGTTCTCTGTGATGCTGCGCCACCTCATCTCCACTGTGTGTAGACAGGAGTGAGGATCTCTATTAGCTCCTGATGTTGAGCAGTAGGTTGTTGTCTGTGCACCACTCTCCAAGATTGTCGATTTATTCACCGATATATCTTCAGCACCTGAGACCGCGATCATTAAAGAAATCTTTCCCTGACTAACTTTTCCACGACCACAACGTACAAACCTAAAAATAATATAAACCAGGTTACTTTGGTTGCTTAAACTTTACAAGAGAGTTGGCAGATCAGAACATTTTTAAATCATTTTTGCTCATCAATTGTTTTGGAGGAGGCAGACAAAATAAATCTAAGCCTTTCACTGCAAACTGGTGCGCAAATATTATATAGTACTGTGGCGTCAAATGCAAAATAAAAAGACAACAATATAATACCCTGCTGAGCAGAGAACCACTGCTGCAAGGGCAGCATCCAACAATCATCTCTGAATTTTCAGTGTCTGAGTTCCAGCAACTCAGAGGAATATGGGAACAGCTACCTGTATAAACAGCTTGCTAAGTAAACAGGCCTACAGTTCAACAGCTGCTATTGTCATATTCGAGACCAGGGGATAATGAAAAAAGGTGTAATATGTGGAATACACACGCAGCTACACACACACACATTCAAACCGCAGCATACACTATACTCTGCATCCCATTTTTTTCCACTCTCTCTCTCTCTCTCACACACACACACACACACACACACACACACTTCCTGAGCAGATGCTGGCTGACAGCTTTGAATTTGTGCTGCTGAAAAGGTGAGTCAACACCCTCCAATCCTGTCAACTCTCGTCACCTTAACATCACCTTCCGTGTGTGTGTGTGTGTAGGATGCTTACAATAAAGAATATAATCCAGTGGTAAAGGCTAAAACAACATTCAGTTTAATACACACATATACCGTATGTATATGCTGTGTAGACATTTACCTTCTCTCAGACAGAATACATTAGAATAGACTAACAGAACAGACAGATGTACATAGCTACCAAAATGAATAAAAGAAAGGAGGAAAAGAAGAGTTGTACTCCATCTTTTTAGCGGATGAATGGTTCTCTGTAGGCATCACATCTCTAATTAATCTACAAGCACTGACCCAGTCTCAGCTCTCATGTTCTGCCTTCATTTAACACTCCAACTACTAACTCTGACCCAGCATCAGCTGGTCCAACCCGTGCTTGTTGATCATTGATGACTCATCCAGAAAGACTAAAGAGAATGCAGACCAGGGTATACATATTTCATAACAAAGTGAAATTACCAGCTCAGCTCACAACCAAATATTTTAATGCAGAGAGGCTGAATAGACACTGGACATTTTCGATCATTTAATTAGAAATGCTTTTTTTTGTTTAGGCTAGTTGCATCAAATCACCCTCATCACTCCTCGGGCCGCTTCACGGTCCTGAACGGTGCTTCTGCCTCCTGTGTGTCCCTGGACAAGGTGTTGTCTCACCTTGTCAGCCCAGTCAGACAGGGAAATTAAGGTGGCTGGAGACAAAAAAGTAAAGGTAGTGGAGGAACGAGAGGTAAAGGAGTGCGAGAGGGCCTTGAGGGCCTGAAAGTAGCCTTGATTGACAAGCCCTCGTGGCAGCTCCACTTCTTCGTCCTCTCATTTTGGACCGAGGGCAGACTGGACACAGTGACTCACTATGATCTATCATCAGCTCATATGAGCTTTTCAAAAATAATTTGTCCATATTATCTATCGAGGCACAAGTGCAACACAGGACTGCTCAGGACTAGCTGATTCGGATGCTAGCTTCAGTACAACACAATACACAGACATCTCTGACACACTTGACATCAGAGCTGTGCTTTTTTTTTTTGTTTTTTAATTCAGGTCAACTGTACACATTGGATCTTTAAAGGCTCTGTTATAAATGTATAGTTATTACATCTTCTATTTCAAATTTGGCCATTGTTAGTTCACAGTGAACAAAAATGACACCTCAGCCAGTACTACACATTTTTCATTCTTACAGCCAAAGTTCAGTCAAACTGATTGATATTATTGCTGTGACATTTTAAAATTGTGCCTACAGTAAAACCCTTCTGACACTTGTCAAATGTTCCATGTGTTTATTTTCTGTACTTATCTGCTGGATGCAGATGTCTTCTCCAGACAGCTCACACTGGGTTGCTATTGCTTGATTGCACACAGACGTAAGGTAGTCAGGTATATGTGGTCTGTCACAGTATGAATAGCATAAAGTATGTCTCTGTTATAAACCACTGGATCACACTGGGATTCAGTGTATGCTACTATTCAATAGCTTTAATTTACATCATATAAACAGACATAAATAGACATTTCAATACAGTTGGCAGGCTGTAATTAAGACATGAACAGTGGTCACTGTTTTTCAGTTCCAGATGTGTAACATATGAGGGGCAGTAGTCTCACCGGCAATATTAATGTAAGAAAAATCGCAGTGACAATGACAGTTTTAAAAAGGTAATTAAAGTTACCATATTACTTCTAAAGAGTTCTGTTATCAAGACATCTGAGTGTCTGGCTTCTCATGAGTCGACCAACTGATAAATGTCAGCCACATCCACTCACTCATCCAGGTTTCTCCTCTTTTTTGGTGGAGAAAATTTGCCTTCGAGGAGAAAGAAGACTCAGTGTAAACATTATGGTTGCATAAAGAGCATGCAAATATTATAAAAATGCAAAAAAAAAAAAAAAAAAATATATATATATATATATATATATATATATATATAAAAAATAAAAGAATTCATTCTAATTAATCAAAAATGGTGATTTAGGTAGCATGCAACTTGTCCACAATGTGTGCCTCCTCTCACACATGGATGAATGTTTTGGGTAACTAAAAGCCTGTTGAAAACTGAAGCCTCCTCACATCTTTCGCTTCCTTTCTACATTTCACAAAAATGCAGCAGCCTGCACAAAGCCACAACCCACATAGCTCACAGTATTTTTTTTTCCTCCAGGGACAGTTTTGTTTCTTTCTCAAAATTAGTCTGATTTGATGATTTATTGATGCTTAAACAAAACAGATACTATGCATTCAACATAGTAAATCATGACCTTACAACATTTTTCTTCTCTGGTGTGTAAGTAAGTAAGTTGTTAACTTTTTCTCTTCATCCTTTACTACATCTCTATTTATCTCTACCCCTTTCTTCACTTTCTCCTACACTTCTTTACACTTTTCATTATTGTTTTTCCCTCCCTCTTCCTGTTTATCTCCATGTCTTTCATTCTCTCTCTCTCAACCCAATTTCCTTTTTACACTCTTTCGGTCCCTAAATGCCACTGTGGCTGTTGGTGTCTTGCATTTCCTGCTGCGCCAGCAGTCTCTTTCAACAGATACACATTTCCAAAGCCTGATATACGTTACTGTAGATATTGAGTTCATCATTCGCATCCTGTATATCTTGTACCCGTTATCAATATATTAAAATGTTCCTTTTGCATTCATTATTTCTTTTCAGCGTTGAAATGCCAAAGCAAGGTTAAAACATTCTCTTTAATCCTTTGACACCACAATAAAATTATTTAGTCTAGTTAATAAAATTGTACAGTAAAAAAGGTGACAGTGTTTCAGATACACACTCATAAAGCTGAAATCAATACACCAAATTTATTGATTAAGGCTACATCAGTAAAACAATGAACTAAAATGATATACTGTATGTGTCATAACAGAGAATGTCCACATGTGACACTTAAAACTGTTACCTTCATTATGTGTCTGTGTGTTTGTACACTTGTGGTATATTTCAAAAGCAAATGTAGCATTGTAAAACTACAAGATAACAGTTTTCCTCTGTGTGTGTTTGTCTTGAGGACATTATTGGAAAATGGGGACTTTCAAGCCTTACTTACTTTAAAGGGTTGTTTAAGAATTAAGAGGCTATAGGGTTACGGTGAGGTTTATTTTAAGGTTGGGGGTAGTGTTGGAGTTACGCGTGTAGCTGTGATTGTTAAGGTTAGTGGCTAGGGCATACATCAGAAAAATTTCACAAAGCTCGTCCCCACAAGGTTAACGCTTGCATTCTAGGCCAATTGTTGGTTTTAAGGTTAGTTTTAAGTTTAGGTAAAGGTAAGGGGTAAGGTTAGGAGTGTCACAGTTATGGTTAAGGTTAGGCAAAGCCTTTGAGGAATGACTAATAGCCTATAAAAACTCCCCACGTGAGACAAAAACAAGTGAATGAGTTTGATTTTTGTCCTTCCCACAATATTCTGTTGTCCAACTCTTAAGAACTCAAGAAAGGCAACAGCCATTGCAGGCATAGAACGAATGCACATGAGAAACACAAAAATGTACTCAGTAGTCAACAACTCACTTGTACGTGCTGGAACTGGTTGTTTCTTTCAGCTCACCATTGAGGAAATGTGTCTATGAAGGTTCAACTTGATCATCCGGTTGGTGCGATGTCTCAAGAAAGTTAGAGGGCATTAATCAGAAAGACTTTTGTGCGAAATAGAGTACCGGTATTTATCTCAAGACTACAGATGGATAATTTGAACAAGTTGAGCCTTTTGGATGAACGACAAAACGTCTTCAATGGAATACTGTAGTCCAGGCAGTTGGATTCAACATTCTCCTTTGACGAAAGTTTTAAGCTTCCAACTTTCACACTTGCAGACAGCGCACAGACAAAGACAAAGAGTCAAACAAAAGCTACTAGTTCAAGGTGAAACGTAGTGCAACATAGTGACTCGATTTTTGATTTACATTGCTAAAGCACAAATCCCACTGGGAGGCTCTCCCTCAGGCTGCTGTGTCTTTATTGTTCTGACTGGCAGTGCTGTGGATTCTGTAAAAGAAGTTATTTCAGCCAGATTTTCCTTGTAGCTCCTTCCATTACAGACGTTCTGCGTGGCTGATGGAGGGGAAGTTTCAAATTATCTCAAATGTTTTAGTTTTCTATCACTATCTTTCAGTCTGTCTCACCTCTTCTTCCCGGCACAATGTGTATTTTTGCAGTCACAATAAACTAGTAAATTTGTGTGCTTGCTGTGTGCTGGTGAGCTATGCTGACAGGAATATCACCACTCTCCTTCCTGCTGCTTCCAGACGCACAGTCTCTCTCTCTCACAGTTCATCTATCATGATAAAACACTGCATGGAGGAGGGGGGTTGGGGGGTGGGGTTATATCTATATTCAAGTGTCCCTGCTTTCATTCTCACTTTAGAGGAAGAGATATTGGCTTTGAAATAGATTAATTTATTGCAATTTTCTTTTATTCAGTTCTGGATGATACACCATGCATACTATATTCATTCCCATTTGTCTACCTGAGACCAGAGGTAGCGTTTGTGTATCGTTGTAAGCCATCTGTCCACAAACTTGATGCTTCAGGTCAGTTTACTCTAGAACAAAACAACAGTGTGCCTCCCTCTTGTTTTTTTTTGTGTGTGTGTGTGTGTATATATATATATATAAAATATATTACTATACATTTATATAAAAACACATTGTGAACCACCAGTTCAAGAGTAAACCATCATTCAGCTGGGGATGCTACCACTTTGGAAGAACTTTGCAGTGGGGCAGTGCAAGTGCTAGTGGGGATTCAAAGCCAACAGAAACCATGGACTCAAATAATTATCTTATTTTAGCTACCAAAGTTTTCTTCCCAGGATTTGGTCCGGAGCTAAAAAAAATAAAATAAAGTGACAATGGACAACTACAGGTCACTGAGGCAACAATATTCCAGGCACACACTGAACTCTCCGCAGCACCACAAGATCACAAACTTAACCAATGTATCGAACAGAAGACTTTAAAACAGCGTTTAGCTGTTCCTCTTACCTTTCTGTAGACAATCATGTTTGGGGAGTCGTCATCTGGGTCCACAGTGCTGATGGACCTCATGGACAGCAGAGGTCTGTTCGGGGTCGTCTGGACACTCTCCTTTGGTTCTTCAGATCCTTCATCAGCCTCCGTCGCCTCCACAGTGCTCGGCTGCTCCTCTTCCTCCTCCTCCTGCTGCTGCTGCTGCTGCTGCTGCTCAGGTGCCTCGGCCATCACTATTATCCCTTTCAGTCTTTCCTGTGACAAGTTATCCTCTCTTTGTCTTCCTCTTTCTCCTCCTTTGTGCTCTATCCTCAGTGTCTAGAAGCTGTTGTGGGGAGAGGGAGGGACAGAGAGAGAAAGAGAGAGAGATGAATTAGACAGTACAACTCACCGCTGGGCTCCAATCTCCCATCTCTCCGTCTTTTTTCTTGTCTTCTGTCAGCAGACACAGGATGGATGAAATGAAGGCCTCATAAATTCTGCTAGTTTTCTCTGTTATCTCTTCTCTTGCAATTCTTCCCAATCCCCTGTCACATGAGATTTAAGTTCCAGGAGGACAGAAGACATGTTTAAGTTTTGCTCTTTATCACTGCAGCTTCTTTTTTTTGTCGTCACTCATCTTAATAATTTATAAGATGCTAGAAGGCCATTACAAGCTTACAGTATTTGCCATTATAGTGCCATGACATGTTTTAAAAAGAGGGAATAAGAAAGTGTAATAAATGCTATTAATTATTTTTCACAAGTTACAATTGAAAGAGGAAAATCTCAGATACATGTATCTTTGAATTCTGTTCCTCATTTGATTAAAATTATATCTCGATAAAGTCCTGAGCATATTTTAAAAAGGAAATCTCATTTTCATTATATTATCAAAATCTATGGCTCTTACTATACGCAATCTATCTTTTTCAATTCACTCAAGACAGGTCTGAATTTAGCATTTTAAGTTATAGTGAATCACAATAAGAAAACTGAGTCTCAAGCGAACAAGTGGATATTTCCTATATGTGGGGAGGACCAGTCTGCGTTATTGCTCTCAAGTTGTGGTAGTATCCCCTTCAGACCGTCTGACAGACACAGAACCCCATTTGGGACTTTGGGTATGTTAACATGAGACAAGGAGGCAGAAACCAAAACTAACTCAAACACTTCTCAATTTCACCAAAATCCACACGTTAACTTCAGCACCTCTCATAAAGTGCAGCTCACAGTCCCAAGCAGAGCAAGGTTGGCTTCAGTTTTCAGATGCTTATATTGCAAAACTCTACCAGTTACATTCTCTCACTACTTTGCGGCAACTGTTAACCATTTGTTTTAATACATTGACTAGACACTGACAGACAACATTTATATTTAAATGCACTGATGACAAATTTGCTGGGGACAATTCAGAAGTCGCAGACAAGCCCTGAAGCTGTGAGCAATGCGCTCTCTGTCTCTCTCTCCCTCTTCTCGTGCTCTCTAAATACAGCCAGGCTGAGGTCACAAACTGTCTGCGACTCACAGTGCAAAACAGATCTGCTGCACAGTCACACCTGGCACCACAATGCTTTCACTACAGTTCTCCGTCTGTAAGAAGCCAGAATAGAAACATCTTCTAGAAAAACCCAGTGCTGGTTTGAACAGACCTCTGCACACTAACTCAGACCTCATGAAGTCTGATAAGACTGGGGGCCAATCTGTTGGGTCATTTGGTCGAGTAGCAACTGTTCCATTAGGGTCTGAGCTGTATCTGATGCTGGCTGTATTTCACCTGGGTCTGTGTGACCTGCTAAAGAATTCTGGACTGGGTCTGTGCTGGTACTGGCTGAGACTGGATGTGGATCAGCTGTGCTTATACTGGCTGGAGTCTGTACTGGCTGATCCAGCATCTTAAGCATTTCCCCTCTAAATGAGATATATGCTATCAGTTCCATCAGGCCCATTCAAACTGGCTCCCATCGGCGTTGCCAGGTCATTTTTCATGCTGAGCTTCAGCTGTGCTTATACTGGCTGATGATCCAGCATCTTAAGCATTTCCCCTCTAAATGAGATATATATCTATATATATCTATCTCTATATATAAATGCTATCAGTTCCATCAGGCCCATTCAAACTGGCTCCCATCGGCGTCGCCAGGTAATTTTTCCGGGGCTAAAGCCCCAGAGTTTTGACTGTAGACCCGAATGTAACTCAACAGCAACAAAAATATTGTTAATATGTAATATGCAATAATCTCTATGACGCAGCCTGTCTCGCAGGTCACGATACGTGAACTTCGAACAAAATGTATTCATTTTGTTCGAAGTTCACGTAACGTGTCCCCCCACCGTTACTCAGCCTGGCTGTATTTAGAGAGCACGAGAAGAGGGAGAGAGAGACAGAGAGCGCATTGCTCACAGCTTCAGGGCTCGTCTGCGACTTCTGAATTGTCCACAGCAAATTTGTCATCAGTGCATTTAAATATAAATGTTGTCTGTCAGTCTCTAGTTAATGTATTAACACAAACGGTTAACAGTTGCCGCAAAGTAGTGAGAGAATGTCACTCAGCTGTCTGAGGTGATATTTCTGTCTGATCACAAGTGTTTTCAGTTTTCTTCCCCTGATGAAGACCAGTGCACTTGTCTCATTGAGTAGGCTACAGTCCCAGACAGGCTCTGTGTCTGGCCTCAGGGGTGGACTGGTAATCTGGCATACCGACAAATGTCCAGTGGGCCGACGAACCTTTGGGGCCGGTGTAACAAATTTATTTATGTAACCATTTTTAAAAAATGGGCTAACCATCGACCCCATAAAGCATAGGCCTATACTGACATTAGGCTGTCCAATCACATCTTTACAAGCCCCCACTCCTTCCCCCTCTGCTCAAGTGTTGTGGCCGGGGGTAAAAAGGTTTGCTACCCCCCTGGGGGTCGCGACCTGGTCCAAGGGGGGTCGTGAGAATGCTGCTATAGACACAAAAATGGGAAAAAATAACTTAACAGTAACTAGCCCGACTACAGTTGTGAATGGAATCACTTTGGGTGGACACTGTAAATATTTTGCACTGTTTAATCCAGTAGGTGGCGGTAATGCCAACCGCTATAAAACGATAAAGAAGAATCAGGCAGGAAGTGCTTTGCAGGTTCGAAAACGCAAGGCGCACAGCAATGCCTTTTTGGTTGAATTTAGAAAAGCGCAAAGAGCTGCGGTTTTTTAATGTTGATAGGCAACTACTGTATCAGCTGTCCTGTCAGTATAGTCAAAGATTATAGCGCTAAGTAATAACAGTAATTAGCAGAAACATGATCACAACTCACGGTCTGTGTCTTTTGTTGCTAAAAACAACTGCTTTAAAAAAAAAAAAATAGACAAATGGAGGGCGCCTGCTCTGGCACTGTTTTGAGTGTGTGAGGTGAACAAACACACGGGAGACAGGGAAAGGGAGATCTGTGTGGGCACGAGACCCTCAGAAAGAGGAGACACCGCTGGTGGTAGCCACCAGTTGGTCCAGGGGCTTCGTCTTAATGATGTCAGTTTAAGGCTTATTTTAGGATGAGTCTGGGTCACGAAATATTTTCAACTTCAGAAAGGGGTCGGACTGCCAGAAAGGTTAAAAATCCCTGTATTACAGTATTTTCTTTATTTTGAATTGTCACCTCAGACATTCCTCAATAGATTGGTGCAAAAAAATTGGTGAAAACTTTAAAAGATTTCTGGGCTGGGCTTAGCCCCAATGTTTCAAGAGCCTGGAAATACCCCTGCTGGCTCCTCCTCCAGGTTTCCTTCATATATTTTCAAATATAAAATACTGTTTATAAATTCCTATTTACTGAGATGTGCACCCATATTGCAAAGTCTGTCCAGCTAATCAACATTTTAACAGTCAATGTGAATACACTGCTTCCCATCTTGCATTAGTCCAGAGTTGTAACTAAACTTCACCGTCTTGTTTTTGATGATGTATGTGATGATGTATGAGTGCCATCACATCCTGTCTGGACTGGTCCCACAGATGTTTCTTGCTGAGTGAGAGTTTAATTTCTTGCACACGCATATGAACGCATTTCCACGCGCAACGCGAGCTACAGTTTATATGCACCATCGGCGTTTATCAAACGTAACAAATAGTTGTATTTCACTCCAACATTGTTCAGTCACAGTCTGGCAAACAAACTCTGCGCTGCTTAGCTGGTCAGAAGTGGACAGACTGGAAATTCACTGCAGCTGCACATTAGGCCAAGTGTATCTACATCATGAGAGGAGAGAACACAAGTTTAACTGACTGCTGTTCCCGCACTTCACTCTCATTGAGTTTTCTCTCTCTTGTACCTAGGAGGATAACCCTCTTCATCCTCTCATCAAAGTTTTACAATTCGCATTCACCTTTGACAGGAAAGTGAGGCGGGGGTGTCTAGCTCTGCGCTGGACTGTCACAGCAGTCGGCTTTCAGTTTGTTTTTTCAATGCTACTCCACTCAGGTGCGCTGCATAGGCTACTAATACTAATGTAATGAGGTCTCCTGCAGAATGTAAAGGAGTAAAAAGTCGATATTGACTTAGACAAAGTAGCGAAGTGAAAGTAAAAGTTGTAACAAATTCTCAAATAAAAGTAGAGATACCGAAAAACTACTTAAGTACAGTAAAAAAGTATTAGTACTTACTTTCCACCACTGAAATAAACATTACGAACAGCTGGACAACATATGACCCCATGTTTTATGTACACACACACACACTGGCATCCCATAACGCAGGCCTGTCGCTTTTTTCTGCTGTCTGAAAGCTGTCAAAATATTGACACTAAAAACAGATGAGCAGCGAAGCAAAAGAAAAGAGGAGAACAAAAGGATAGGAGAGTACAGTGGAGAGAGAATTTAAATTCAGGACAGTGAAGGTAGTGATCAGGAGGAAGAGAGGAAAGTAAGATTGTAGCTGGTAAGGAAACAGATGTAGTAAACTGAAAGACGCCCATTCAAACAGACTTGTTCCTCTTCCGACTCCGTCTACATCCCTCCTATCTTTTCTCCCCGTCAGACTCAACTAGCATCACACTGTCCAGCTTATTACATCCCAACTTTGTTCTCTCTCCATTAAGTTCATCCTTAATGGAAGAATAAAACTGCCTTCACTTCCTCCTCAAAGCACATTAATCTTCATCAGCTAGTTTCCTTAATGGCTGAAACACCCATCAATGTACAAATAAGGGGGGGGGGTCCTGGAAATTTAAGGGAAAACCCCAATTCCTTACTTGTTTTAAATTAAACTTTAAAAACAACTTTGAAACCACAAAGAAAAGGCAATGGCTTCTTTCTGTTCAGCTACTACAAACAAACCACTGGAATTTGACACCTTGCACGCTTGCATCTAAATCAATTGAACATTCAACACATTATTTCCACTTAAGTGACTTATGCCATCTACTTCCTTTTGTGCAAAAAAAACTGGGCACCTCACAGGAATCACATCTCCCGGCAATCGATTTATCTCAAGAAATAACAGTATTTGGAATGATGGGTTTGAGGAAGAGCTGTGATAGAGACTGAACTCAAGCCCAGCAAGGTTGGTTTAAAATTACAATCAATACTTTGTGATTAATTGCCAGTAAATCTTCCTCCTACCATCTCAAATGGTTTCTTGCTCTTTGTTTCCAGGCACATTGAATTGAGGTGAATATTTTTGAGAAGATCACACACTCAAAATGCTTCAGGGCAAGAAGGCCACAACATCAAATCTGGAGAAAAGGCTCCAAATGCCAGTGCAAATATTGAAAGAATCCTGGACCTTCATCAGGCAAATGTTTGACAAACAGAATCCAGACCATTTAACGACATCAAATAGAGCACACCTGTGCTTTACCATGCAAGTGCACATGGGAAATGCAGTTCACATTCGTCGTTCCCAAGTCCAATACATAGGAAACTCCAGAAACTGATAACTCACTATATCACAACACTAAGATAATTAATACAGAAAGTCTTTTTGGCAATTAACTTGCTGGGCACTCTGAAGGTCCCCCGCTTTCCTCTGCAAACAATATATAAGCAAATCAGCTAAATAATAAGGTCTCAAAGTCAGATATTGACATGGGTCCTCATATTCCCTGTTACGGCTGTATGTATTACCCTGTGCTGTGTCCATGTTCTCTTCTGTCCTCTAGTTCTGCTCCAGGAGTGCTCCAGCTGATTACTGACGAGGTCCACCTGGCCTTGGAAGGCGGTCTTTAA